CCCCAAAACCCCAAAACCCCAAAACCCCAAAACCCCTATTTCTTTTATAAAAATTGATAGTTTAAAGAAAATATGACAGATGATATAATTCCTTACCCCAGAGAAAAACTAATCGATATCATAGACGATATTGTATACAACGAAAACAGGAAAATTGTATCCATCTTCAAGGATTATCTGATCTATGATGACATCGGGGATTTCCTAAATAGAATGTACACCATTCCAGAGGTAAAGCCCAGACTTAACAGGTAAGTAGCTCTTCCGGTGCTGCCACGATCTCGCATCATCATCTGCTGTATCAAAATACCTATAGAATAACTGATTACTACTGAGCAGTTGGCCCATTCAATCCTTCAATGGCTGCACTTGAAGAACAAAAATTCATCACGAAATAATCACAAATTAAAACAAAGAAAACTGGAAGCTAAGCTCAAAGCTCTTGAAAAGCTCAATAAATAAGGAAGATAGCCAGTTCTCCTACGAATTTGACAGTTTAGAAAGGCATAAAGTTTTTGATACCCAAATGGTAGAAGCAATTCTAGGTGAAAGCCTTTCACAACAAAGTTCTAACTTCTTACAAAGCCATGGTTGTAGCATTGGTCTCTCGATGTAAGACTTTGGTCATATAATAGGAAATCTTACGAGCAGAATAGCAAAATGCTCAATAATACCAATAATAAATCAGACATTTATGACTTAGATGTGTTCCGGAATCCCTACAACAAAGATGGAACAAACTCTTTTGAAAATTTAGTCAAGGAATTTGTAGAAAATTACACTGATCTTGATCTCTCAGAAGAGATCATTAAACGTCCTAGAAATGATCGTAAAAGCAATTATAATAACATCAAAGTCCCAGAGAGCTCATATCTCGATTTTGATAGTAGTATCAGCATAATTCAAAAGCATCAAGAAAAGTAAGTTTCATATAAAATTTTTCAAGGAAACCTTCCAAATAAACCAACTAGAGGAGAATCAAAGAATAATAAAAATCAAACTAAGATTTCTAAAAGAAACACAAATCTTAACGAATATATTCCAACGAAGCCAAGCACGACAGGTACAACCTTCTCCAATCTTTAGGCTACTCACGAAGAACACAAGACTCCATTAAGATTGAAGATCTGATCAAAGCAAGACGGCCTGGCATTTATGGAACAAAAATAGTAAAATAAAATCAAAGAAATTCCTCACAAATCTCTAAAATATTCCACAAAATCTTCAAAAAGAGTGACGAACTACGACAGAAAGAAGTATTTAACCAGTAAACCCTCACCATTCTCCAAGACAAGCAGAGTAAGTGCAGGACATAGTAAGAACTCCAAACCAAGGAAGGTCAAAAGGTCGAAATAAACTCAGCATGAAGGCACCAAGGAATCATAAATCAGGGGACTGTAACCTAGATTATTGATTAATATAGGTGATCCCTTGTTTGAGTCAAAGTTCAACATTATGAGTACATCTGCAAAATCAAAACTAAAGCAGCCTAAGACTGAGAATAAAAGAAAGAAAAGAAACAGGAAGAGAATCGGTAGCCTTGATGAATTCAAAGTCAAAATGTATCTATCCAAGCATAAGGGTAAATATTCAAGACCATATACCAATATCTCTAAAACTCGAAAGGCTCCAGGAAGGCTTAGTAAAGCATCATCTTATATTTCTTTAATCGGGAGCCAAACCAGCTCACAGCCAGACTCCATTATAAAAACTCTAAAACAACGAAGAATCAGGGTAGACATCCGTTCAAACGGCCGAAAAAGCGCTTACAACTTACATAAACACTCCACACACTACGACATCAGGATCCCCACCCCTTCAGACCTCCGAGACTACCTGACCTTCACCAATCTAAACACTCCCACCAAAAGACACCCTCCTAAGCCCAAAACCAGGCTTTCCAAGCACCCTAAAAATCCTACAAAGCTCAAAACCTCCGAAAATCCCCACTTCAGTACAAGAAAGACTCCTACTGTCAGCCTGAAAGTTCAAAAATCTGATCCAAAAATGTCCTTAAATCCAAGTTGTTCTAACTTAGGGTCCAATTTTGGTAGGCCACTCAACATCCAAACCTCTACGAAAAACCCTCTTATAACCCTCCTGCCTAACAACACCACTTCTTCCTTCGACCCATCAATCCCTGATGAAGCGAACTACTCGCCCAGCAGCAGCTCCTTCAGCTGCACAGACTTGCCAGTCGATGAAGGATCTATTGAAGGAAATAAAGGACTTGTTAAAGGAATTCAGCAATACAAGTTTTGTGTTACCTCTCACAGCCCCTTCCACCGGCCCCCTTCCCACCTACCAACCCCCACCACTCCCTCTCCTTCCTTCCCAACCAACCCTATCTGCCCACAGCCCCTGCAATCAACCATAAACCTCAAAGCCTTCAGAAACAAACAACCTAGCCAGCTCCAGTCGACCGCCAAAGTTCCACATACACAGGCTTTGAAGTCTTGCTTCGAGTAAGAATTTAGGTGATTAATTGAATTTTAATGGGATTTTGAGATATGTTCATAAACTAATTTTTGAAATTTTTTGGAATTTTAAGGGAGATAGGTATGTTTATGCAGTAGTTTTTACCCATAGAGGGTGCATTGGATGGGGATACCATAAGCTCCAACATTAAATACCTTCCTAAATGTTCTATGTCAAAAATCTTACAGAGAACCTTCGGCAGACCAGCAAGGCTTCTTTCGACCAAAGCTTCCTGAGTCTAAAGAAGAACATAAGAAAGGAATAGTTATGAAGACAAGTAGAAGCCAGATATAGATAAGGAAGGAATCATGCTTATTCTAGATACATGCACAACCAGGGTAACTTAAAACTCCATTATTCAACAGCAGATAAGCCTGGAATCATAGAATGTTAAACCTGGATCTGGATAAAGCAAACAAGAAATCAGCCTAATAAATAAATTTAACTGATAAATTTCAACCGAAAAGACCAAAAAAGGGGTTTTGGGGTTTTGGGGTTTTGGGG